AAAAAAAAAAAAAAAAAAAAAGCCACAAGCAAATGAATAAACAAAATCCATGACGAATATTATCTACTTTCAACACTGATAACCCCTATGGGACGGTTGGTGAGAAGCAGCTACAGCACCACTCAGGATGCTGCAGGCAGGCCTTCATCTCTGGGGAGCAGTGTTTGACAGCAGAGCATATGATGCCCTTAGATCTAGCAATCCCACTGTTAGGAGTATTATATAAAAAAAAGCAGCTTTTACAACTGCATAAAGATTTTCTCCCTGGCTTGTGTGGTGATTATTATACACTGGTTCATTCTCTTGCCGTTGAGGGTGAGGAATGGAGATGAGACCAGAACCTGAAGAAATATGGACTGATAATGGCTGGGTAAAAGCAACAGGAGCTGGGTGCGGTGGCTCACACCTGTAATCCCAGCACTTTGGGAGGCCAAGGCAGGCAGATCACCTGAGGTTGGGAGTTTGAGACCAGCCTAACCAACATGGAGAAACCCTGTCTCTGCTAAAAATAAAAACTTAGCTGGATGTGGTGGCACATGCCTGTAATCCCAGCTACTCAGGAGGCTGAGGCAGGAGAATCACTTGAATCCGGGAGGTGGAGGTTGCGGTGAGCTGAGATAGCACCATTGCACTCAAGCCTGGGCAACAAAAGCAAAACTCCATTTTTTTAAAAAAAAATTTAAAAAACGCAAAACTAGCCAGGTATAATGGTGCATGCCTGTAATCCCAGCTACTTGGGAGGCTGAGGGAGAAGAATCACTGGAACCCGGGAGGCAGAGCTTGCGGTAAGCTGAGATCATGCTGTTGTACTCTAGCCTGGGCAACAAGAGTGAAACTCCATCTCAAAAAAAAAAAAAAAAAAAAAAAGCAACAGGAAAAAAGATAGTCTAGGACTATGGCAAGCTGTGATATTGATGAGTGGGAGAAATTTTGATAATGTAAAGAGTTTGTATTTTTGGGTGGACAAGTTTTTTTCTTTCTTTTTAGTAGTCATTTTTAAATGTACACTTTTGACCAGGCACAGTGGCTCACTCCTGTAATCCTACCACTTTTAGAGGCCAAGGCTGGTAGATCACTTGAGCCCAGAAGTTTGAGACCAGCCTGGGCAAAACCCTGTCTCTACAAAAATACAAAATTAGCCAGGTGTGTTGATGTGCCTCTGTAGTCCCAGCTACTTGGGAGTCTGAGGTGGGAGGATCACCTGAGCCTGGAAGGTCAAGGTGGCAGTGAGCAGTAATCATACCACTGCACTCCAGCTTGAGCAACAGAGCAAGACCCTGAAAAAAAAAATGCACTTTTTTTTTAACTTTGAAAAATTTTAAACCGTGAACTAGAGAGAGCAGACCAACAAACCTTATGTGCCTGTCTCAGGTTCCTTTATACCCTGGCTCCATATATTTCCTTCCCTCTATCTATTTCAAGGCAAGTCTCGGACGTTATGTCTCTTCATCCCTATATACTTCAGAAAGTATCTATATAAAATATGGGCACTTATTTTTGGTCATGATACCCTTTGTACCTCTGAAAAAATTTGCTGTAATAAGTTGGTATCAACTAGTACCTGGTTCATTGAAACTTTTCCTGATTGCGAAAGTATGTTCACAGCTGGTCTGTCTGAACCAGGATGCAAACCCAGCCCAGCTAGTGCATGTGGTGTCTTTACATCTGCCAGTCCAGAGGTTTCCCTCCCTTTGTTCCACCAAATGTTCCACATTTGGACTCATCTCATTGCACTCTCAGACTTGCTCTTTGTCCGTTTTTCCTGCAAACTAGAAGTTAACTCTGAAGCCTTGGTTCTATTTGAGTACAAGTTTTGGGGATGAGAAAGTCACATGGGTGATGCCTTAGACTTCATGCCACTGCATATCGTGTATGGTGAAAATACGGTGTTACTAAGAGTTCCCATTAGTGCTGCACACCTTAGGTGTTAGCTTTCTCAGCATGTCCCTCACTCAATGTCAGGCCTTTACAAACAGGACATGCTGTGATGTCCCATGATTGCTGGTCATTAAGTGTCACTGGGAACTGCACCACCTTGTATGTCAGGAAAGGTCAAGCAAATGGGCCCTGGACATCCAACTCATGGACACTGTTGTGCCTCAGCTAAATTATCACATATCCAGGATTATTCTCCTCCACCTTGCTTTGCTCATGGAAGTATTTATATGTGGATTCTTCCAAATGGATATTTTGTTTTGAGGCAATTGTATATACCCCATATGTCAGCCCTCTGGTTCCAGGGACACTGTGAGGGGATGCCCTTGACATGGAGGGGCAGGTCTGCTGCCCAGTGGTGGGCATGGCATGGGAACAACAGTCAGTTCTTTTTCTGGCAAGGAATGTTGCCTTGTTGTAAGTCCGCCCAGGTAGGAGTTCTGTTTGTAAACATGGGATCTGCTGAGAATATAGAGAATTTCTTTAGCTCCAGGTGAAGAAAGTATTTACTGTCTGGGTCAGGCTTTGCCCCTAAAGTCTGGCTGTGAACACTTTGGGCATAGCCTTACCTCTCAGATAAACAGGAGTGGGAGGTGGCACCAGAAGTTGTAATCGGCAGCACCATTCACCCCTTTCCCTTGTCCCACCTCCACCCCACAGGATGACTCAGCAGTCCTCTTGGCCTCCAGAAGCACTGAGTCATGGTGGACCCAGTTATCTGCTCCCTTCAGTGTTTTCATAGACCCCCACAGCTGCATGCCTCCGCCCTTGGCTTAGGCAGATGTGCTTGCCTGGCTGACTGTGATCCCTGATAGGTTCCAGAGGGGCGAGGCCCCCTCTTGTTCCTAAGAGTCTCCTGTACTGTTCTCTGACCCAGTCAACATGGCTGCAGAAGGAGTGCTGAGGCAGAGATGTGGACCTGGAGCCTGTGGGTTTTCTCGTCAACCATTGTCCTTTCTGCTGGGAAGAGCTTCCCATCCTTGAGGACCAAAAGTATTCAGTGAACAATTAGCATGGTGCCTCTGTTTTTGTACTCTGCACCCCTACAGTAACGTGGCCTGTTGTGACTGAATTCTTACGTATTGTAGACTGGTTCTGCCTACCCGTAGTCAGCAGTACGGTGGTGACCACAGGCACTACCAGGGTCTTTGCTTAGGACAGGCACTGTTCTGAGTTTGTTACATGTCTCACTAATTTCTTCCATTCAGTCCTTGGTGAGGGATGCACCATTGTTATTCTTTCTTAAGAACAACAAGGCCCCCATAGAGCACCAGGCATTTCCAGAGCCATCTCTATGCTACTATTCAGGCAGCCACTCTTAAGAATAGAGGATGGGGGCTGGCAGCCAGCATTTCTGTGGATGGGCCCTGGAGGGGACTCAGAAAAGGAGCAGCAGCGGCTTCTGTAGAGGAGTCTGGGAAGCCTGCAGAGGAGTAGAGATGGTTTCTTTCATGGTTTGAGTTTTTGCTCTGTACATGTATTGGCTCCATTTAAAGTGTGTCCAGCTGTGTCCCTGTGTACACATTTGAGTCTGTATATGGTCTCTCCCACAGGCCAACGCAGACCCATCGGTGATAAACTGTCTGCACAACCTGTCCCGTCGTATTGCCACTGTGCTGCAGCACGAGGAGCGCCGCTGCCAGTACCTCACCCGGGAGGCCAAGCTGATCCTGGCGCTCCAGGATGAGGTGTCCGCCATGGCTGATGGTGAGTGCAGGAGGGCGTGGTGGGCATGGGCCTGGGCTGGCTAGTGGCCTCTCTGCAGTGCAGACCTCTGTGAAGGGACTGCCAGTCAGTGCCAACGGTGCAGACGTTGGCGGGGCCTTATCCACCCGAACACCAGGAGAGCAGTCAGGTTTTGGTGAGCTGGGCATTGAAAATGAAGTCCTCACAACAGCTTCACAAGGCAGGGTCCATGATCATCCCCATTTTGCAGATGTGGAAACTAAGGCTCAGAAAAGGTACATGATCTTCACACTGGGCTGTTTGTGTCTGGGGAGCACAGGAAGACTCCCAGGGGCAGGTTTGTAGATGAACTTTTCCTGGATGGATGTTCTGAAATAGATTTCCTGACCAGAAATGTTGTCTCTTCCCATGTACTGTTGCATGATCACCATTCACATAGGTCAGGCACCTCTGCTTAGTGCTGGTCCTGTGGGACATGTTGAAGGAAGTATTTATTCCTTGGGGCAGGAAAGGGTGTTAGAAATATCCAGCTGAGTGGAGGTGGGCAGTTTCCAGTTCTTTGCTTTTGGCCAGATTGAAGGAGGACCTAATTGGGTTATCAGCTAACCAATTTAAAAAAATAATTTTTGCACATAGAACATTGCATGATTTTTGGCCTACTGTAAAGATTTTGAAACATGGAGGGAAACCTGTAATAGACTCTTCCTGTCTCCATTCTCTTTGGCAAGCATGTCCATAACAAAAGAGAGAATTAAGGACAAAACTGAAATCAGACCTAGTAGTTCTAGCAATAAGTAAAAGTAGCAATTGCCATACATAAACGAACAATAGAAAAAGAACAGCCTCTCTGACTCAAGTGCAGTAAAAAAAATTGTTTTCTTTTTGAGTTGCAGTCTCGCTTTGTCACCTAGTCTGGAGTGCATGGTATGATCTTGGCTCACTGCAACCTCTGCCTCCTGAGTTCAAGCAATTCGCCCGCCTCAGCCTCCCAAGTAGCTGGGATTATAGGCGCCTACCACCATGCCCAGCTAATTTTTACATTTCTAGTAGAGACTGGGTTTCACCATCTTGGCCAGGTTGGTCTTGAACTCCTGACTTCAGGTGATCCACCTGCCTTGGCCTCCCAAAGTGCTGGGATTATAGGCATGAGCCACCGAGCCTGGCTGCATTTTCAGTAAAAATTCACTTGTGGCTGGGCACGGTGGCTCATGCCTGTACGCCCAGCATTTAGGGAGGTGGAGGCAGGTGGATTGCTTCAGCTCAGGAGTTCGAGACCAGTGTGGGCAACATGGTGAAATCCTGTCTCTACAAAAAAAGCCACAAAAATTAGCCAGGTGTGGTCATGTGTGCCTGTCCAGATACTCGGGATGTTGAGGTGGGAGAATCACCTGAGCCCTGGGATGCGGGGGATGCGGAGGTTGCAGTGAGCCAAGATTGTACCGCTGCACTCCAGCATGAGGGACAGAGCGAGACCCTGTCTCAGAAAACAAAACCAAACAAAAAACTTACGTTTGACATTTATTTGTCAAAATTTATAATATATTTCTGTTTTGGCCAATTATGTATTAATTATAATTGTAATAATAATCTAAACGTTTTGTTTTTTTGAGCATTATCTTTTTAGAGTCTGTGATTTTATCACAGGAAGTAAAAATTATTTTAATTTAAGTCTGTATTTTGTTAGAAATTTATGAAAAAGGATGAATAAAAGACTTTGGCTGGATGTGGTAGCTGACACCTGTAATCCTAGCACTTGGGGAGCCTAAGGCCAGGGGATCACTTGAGCCCAGGAGTTTGAGACCAGCCTGGGCCACATAGCGAGTACCCCATCTCTACAAGAAACTAAAAAATTAGCAGGTCTAGTGGTACACATGTGGTCCCAGCTAGGTGAGAGTGTCGCATGAGCCTGGGAAATTAAGACTGAAGTGAGCTATGATTGCTCCACTGCATACCAGCTCAGGTGCCAGAGCAAGACCTTGTCTTAAAAAAAAGCTTTTCAGCCATAAAAGTAAATTGCATTAGCACTTGAGGGAGAGGAGTAGGACATGGCATGCAAATACCTGATAACAGAGAGAGAGGGTGGGGCCTGCTGGTCAGAGAGAAGCCTGCAAGGAGGGAGCAGTGAAATGGCTTCCCCTGCAATGCCTGTGACTACAAGGTTGGAAGGGGCAGTGGTGAAGTTTAAATACAAGTAATCCATGTAATCATGGTTGAACAAATCAGCCTAAGTCTAATTTTAGTTCACATGATGCACAGATTTTATTAAAAAAAAAGAAGTGGAGAAAAAAAAAAAAAAAAGAAGTGGGGAGTTTCCAGAGGTTTGGTTTAAAGTTACCTAAAATTACCTTTGAGGTAAACTTGTTTTTATTTTTATTTATTTATTTATTTTTTTTGAGACGGAGTTTCGCTCCTTTCTGCCCAGGCTGGAGTGCAATGGCGCGATCTCGGTTCACTGCAACCTCTGCCTCCTGGGTTCAGGCAATTCTCCTGCCTCAGCCTCCCGAGTAGCTGGGATTACAGTCATGCGCCACCATGCCCAGCTAATTTTTTGTATTTTTAGTAGAGACGGGGTTTCACCATGTTGACCAGGATGGTCTCGATCTCTTGACCTCGTGATCCACCCGCCTCAGCCTCCCAAAGTGCTGGGATTACAGGCGTGAGCCACCGCGCCCGGCCAAACTTGTTTTTAAAGGTTTTCCCTATTCTACCTTATAAAAGTTTCTGGCCGGGTGCGGTGGCTCACACCTGTAATCCCAGCACTTTGGGAGGCTGAGGTGAGTGAATCACCTGAGGTCAGGAGTTCAAGAACAGCCTGGACAACATGGTGAAACCCCATCTCTACTAAAAATACAAAATTAGCCAGGTGTAGTGGCCCGCTCCTATAATCCCAGCTACTTGGGAGGCTGGGGCAGGAGAATTGGCTTGAACCTGGGAGGCGAAGGTTTCAGTGACCTGAGATCACGCCATTGCACTCCAGCCTGGGCAGAAAGGAGCGAAACGCCGTCTCAAAAAGAAAAGTTTCCTTACTTTGAGAGCTGCAAATCTTATGTTATGATTCTTGTAGGAAATGAAGGTCCTCAGTCCCCATTCCATCACATCCTGCCCAAGTGCAAGCTGGCCAGGGACCTTAAGGAAGCTTACGACAGGTAAGACAGGTGGGCGTGTGCAGGGTCTAGTGGGTTTTCTTTTTCGTGTGGAGATGATAGATCACAGGAAAGAAAGACACAAGACACAGAGAGAAGAATTCAGCTGGGCCTGGGGGACCACCACTACCAAGGTGTGGAGTGCAGTATTGGCCCCGAATGCCTGGACGTGCTATTTATGGTATACAAGGCAGAGGGCAGGGTAAGGAGAGTGAATTATCTGATGTGATTGATAGGGTCAAGCAAATCACATGCTTTCAGTACAGGGGCCCCTCCCTTTCAGGTAGCGGCTGCAAGGAGGGGAGGCACAGGCGCCAGCATGTTTCCATGCACTTACCAGAAAGATCAAAGGCTTTTAGGGTTCCTCTATTCTTACTTCTCACAACTTCTAAGAACTTAAAAAGAGCACCGGGTGAGAAAGCGGGACACGAAGGTGGACAAGGATGGTGACCATTAGAGCACAGTCCACAGAGATGCATTTAAGCCCCTGGATGTCTGTAGGCAGACCTGGCTAATGTCAGGCTTTCCTCAAGAGTCAGGCAGAGCAGAGTGTTCTCTGAACTCCCCCAGTGAAAGGGAAACTCCACGGCCTGCCAAGTATTGGGCGCCTTCCCAGGCACTGGCGTTACCACAAGGCCTGCCTGCTAAGTAACGGGCACCCTCCCAGGCACTGGCATGACCACAAGGCTCTCACTCTCACCTCCTGATCACTTCTCACAATGTCCCTTCAGTTCCTAATTATGTTTCACCCGATTGTTTATACTATAAGACTAAAATGATTCTATGCTATAATACTAAAGCAAAGATTAATAAAGAATCATGATTTAATAAGATTGATTATATAATTGATGATGTGATTATTCCTAATATATTTGTATCATTACTAAAACTAAGTAATCAGTTATTTATTATACCGGGACAGCTTGTGCCTTCAATCTCTTGCCTTGGCAGCTGGGCAGCTTTCTTCCCACAAGCGTGCTTATTAACCTTCTCATGGGCCAGCCTTCCTGGGCCTGAGGAGCAGCGTCAGCAGGTAGGGCTCCCTGGAACTGACCACTGTTCTCCTGGGGTGTAAGCATCAGGGTTTCCTGAGGTTGGGGCAGAAGAGGACTGGGAAGGGATGGTCATGTGGCTGCTCTTGAAAGCAGTGACCTTGGTGGCTGTTTTTAATTTATTATTTATTTATTTATTTTGAGACGGAGTTTCACTCATGTTACCCAGGCTGGAGTGCAATGGCGCGATCTCGGCTTACCACAACCTCCGCCTCCTGGGTTCAGGCAGTTCTCCTGCCTCAGCCTCCTGATTAGCTGCGATTACAGGCACGCATCACCATGCCCAGCTAATTTTTTGTATTTTTAGTAGAGACGGGGTTTCACCGTGTTGACCAGGATGGTCTCGATCTCTTGACGTCGTGATCCACCCGCCTCCGGCCTCCCAAAGTGCTGGGATTACAGGCTTGAGCCACCGCGCCCGGCCTATTTTTTATTTTTATTTTTTTTTTGAGATGGAGTTTCACTTTTGATACCTTGGCTGGAGTGCAATGGCACAATCTCGGTTCACTGCAACCTCCGCCTCCCAGGTTAAAGCTATTTTCCTGTCTCAGTCTCCTGTGTAGCTGGGATTACAGGCATGTACCACCACGCCCGGCTAATTTTGTATTTTTTATAGAGATGGGGTTTCTTCCATGATGGTCAGGCCGGTCTTAAACTCCCAACCTCAGGTGATCTGCCCGCCCCGGCCTCCCAGAGTGCTGGGATTATGGGCATGAGCCACCGTACCCAGCTGGTGGCCACTTTTAAAATGCCAGCCTCTTCGCTGAATAGCATGCACTGTGCTAGAACCACCATCTCCAGGCTCCTCGTAAAACAGAAAATGAGCCTGAAATTATATATGAGAGTCTGAAAGTGGTTATTTTTATTTTTATTTTTTGAGATGGAGTCTTATCGCTTCTCGGCCTTTTGGCTAAGATCAAGTGTGAGATGGAGTCTTGCTCTGTCACCCATGCTGGAGTGCAGTGGCACAATCTTGGCTCAGTGCAACCTCTGCCTCCTGGGTTCAAGCCATTCTCCTGCCTCACCCTCCTGAGTAGTTGGGATTATAGGTGCACACCACTACACTGAGCTAATTTTTGTAGAGACGGGGTTTATCCATGTTGGTCAGGCTGGTCTCTAACTCCTGACCTCATGATCTGCCTGCCTCGGCCTCCCAAAGTGTTAGGATTACAGGCGTGAGCCACCGAATGGATGTCACTGACCCCACTTCACTCATAAGGAAATTGAGGCTCAGTGGGTGGAGCTGGGGCCAGTTTTCTCCTCCTTGCTCTGAAGGAGTTGGGGTTGTGACACTGAATGTTTGAGGGCAGTAAGCCTTTAGGATACCTCACTGTTCTGATTATATTGGGTGAGCATCACCTCTATTAAATGTGGACAAGCAGGCTGGGCGTGTTAGCTCACGTCTGTAATCACAGCACTTTGGGAGGCCAAGGCTGGCGGATTGCTTAAGGTCAGAAGTTCAAGATCAGCCTGGGTAACAATGTTAGACCCCCATTTCTACAAAAAATTTTTTAAAATATGTGAGTGCGGTGGCACAAGCTTGTAGTCCTACCTACTCAGGAGGCTGAGGTGGGAGAGTCACTTGAGCCTTGGAAATCAAGATTACTGTGAGCCATGGCTGTACACTGTACTCTGGCCTGGGCAACATGGCAAGAGCCCATATCAAAAAACAAAGGCAAAAAAAAAAAAAAAAGACTTTTAAATTATTTCTTTGGCTGCCCAGTTAGCCTCAACTGCCCCCATCATTGAATTGGTTCCAGCCTTCCAGTGTTAACCATTTACCTGTGTTATTTAGTACGTGCACCTCTGTATCTGTCAGATAAATTGCTGAAAGCATTATGAATGGGGAAAATGGCATTTGTAATGTTGTGTTCCTTCTCAGGGGTTTGTATCTCTGTCTGTACTTCCACTGGCAGCACACAAGATGCCTCTAACCCCCAGCTTTGTCAACATTGAGTCTGATGAAATTTTGGATTTTAGCCAGAATAATATGTGGGGAATGGTGTCTTTTTGTAGCTTTCCTGTAATGCATTGATGCATCTCTTCATGTTTGGACCGCCTGTCTTTTCTGTGAGCTCTCTGCTCAGGTCCCTTGTTCATTCTTCTTCTGGGAAATGTAAGTCCTTAAAGACAGGAGAGTGATTTGTCTTTTGTGACATAAGTTGCAACTAGTATTTGTTTTTTTTCTTGGTGACCCTGGGGTCTGAGCCTCGCAGGTGTGAGAGAACTTCAGCCCTTGCCAGGTGATTGCTTTGTTTTCTGACCCCTTCTGTGTTGGAGAATGGGACCTTTGTGGTCATGTAGTCTGACCTTGTCTTTTATTCTTTGTTATCACGCTGATGTTTTCTCTGTGTTGAGAGAGGTACTACCGCTTGGTCTTGAATTGCCTGGTATCCAGTCTCTTCCTTGGAAATTGTTCTTTTACTCTGAGTGTGTGCCTCAACTAGGATTAGATTACAAGCAAAAATCAGGCCAATTTGGAATTAAAAACCAAACTGGTCTGATGGTATGTGCCTGTAATCCCAGCTAACAGGAGAGGCCAAGGTTGGGGGATCACTTGAGCCCAGGAGTTTGAGCTTCTAGTATGCTCTGTGTCGGTGCCAGCAACATAGTGAGACCCTGTCTCTTAGGAATTTTTTAAAATAAAAAACAAGGCATTGACTTTATATTTCTTTTCCTTTCTGTTT